AGCTTTCTTACAATCCAATACGGTCTTAGATTTAATTCTATCACCTGATATCGCACAAATTGCCTTCTGGCTGTCGGTAAATATATTAAGCCCTGTGGGCGCCATATTTATTCTAATCCAATTTACACATTCCGTTATTGCTCGTACTTCTGCCTGGAAGCTTGTGTTATGATTAGGTAAACGGTGGTATATTTCTGTTTCTGGGTCTTCAATATAGAACCCCAGACCCACTTTGTCCCCTAATTTAGAGCCATCCGTGTAGTAACGGATTCCTACTGGTATTTGCTCTAATGTTCCGCTTGACCAAGACATTCTATCTGGGATTAGCGTTTCAAAGTTTCCGACATATTCAGTGTCTGGTATGCGATCAGGCACGTCCGATGAATGTGTATAACCTTCCAATGTGTCCAGTATACATTGATGACGTGTCCTATAACCGTTTTTGGCCAGTTCGCCTAAAGTAAAGAGCCGTTCGGCTGTAAGCGCCGCCTCATATCTTATATATGTTTTAATGGGTGGAATATCTAGCAACGTTTCCAGAGCCTTGGTTGAAGTTGTACACATGGCACCACTTATACCCAAGCAGCATGTACGCTGAACTCCCTGTAGTAGTTTGATAATACACTTTTTGTCCAAAGCAGTCCACCAGATTATTGAAGCATAAGCTAGAATTGGTCTAATTACACTTTTATAAAGCCAATTTGTCATAGTAGGACTAAGACCCCATTTCATGCCTATGGTTCTCCTACATATCGCCCAGCACCGATGTGCCTTGTTGATCCTATCCTCTATGTGGTGTCTCCATTTTAATTTCCGGTCAAGTATTACACCTAAGTACTTAACTTTGTCTGTCACCGGTATCTTCTTGCCCAAGAAGCAAGGTTCAGTATATGTAGAAATTTTTGTCTTTCTTGTGAAAAGACAGATTTCCGTCTTCGCCGGGTTAACATTGAGGCCTCTCGGTTGAGCCCAGCTCAAGGCCGTATTCAGAGCCTCCTCAGCTCTTCTACACAAGTAATTTGGATCCTTTCCCTTTAAAAGTATTACGACATCGTCTGCATAGCAGACAGGTCTAAGTCCTTTTCGGTTAGGGTCCTTAGGAGGCTATTAATCGTGGTGACCCAGAGTAAAGGTGACAAAATGCCACCCTGTGGTATACCGCGAAATACCTTTTTCCTGATAGTTATATCGTACATCTCGCAGCTTATCCATCTGTTCCTTAGCATGTAGTTGATCCAGTTACGGAGCACCCGGTCAACATAAAACTGGTCTAGGGATTGGATAAGGGTATCAGTGTGCACGTTATTGAAGGCGCCTTCGATGTCAATGCATACTGCCAGTGTATACAGTTTGCTATCGAAAGATTCACCTATGTAGTGGACAACTTCATTTAAAGCGGTTTCCACCGATCGTCCCTTTACATAAGCATGCTGCTTATATTTAAGGTCATTGTATGGCATGCTGCTTTTAACCATGCTATCGACTATCCGTTCCAAGGTTTTAAGTAGGAAGGACGTAAGACTTATCGGTCGATAGGACTTAGGTGTCGCATAGCTAGGTTTCCCTGGTTTGGGTATAAATATTACCCTTGCATCCTGCCATTTAACTGGGGTATATGCCAATTTTAAGCATGCAGTGAATATCTGTGACAGATGTACGGAAACCAGTCCCGCCTCCATCTGCAAAAGTGCCGGGAAAATTCCATCCGGCCCTGCAGCTTTATAGGGAGCAAAGCTCTTGATTGCCCCTTTAACCATGTCAGTTGTAATAACTATTTCCGTGTTACCCTCCCCTTCCTCCAATATCGGTTCATCTATGTTATTCGATATACCGGGTGGGAAATGAGAATCCATTAGGGGTTTCATTGTCTCCTCCATATCCTCAAGCCTCCTGCCCGTGTCATCGATCATAGATTCCAGTTTCCAGGAGTCTCGTTTGGCTTTTCGAACGATTTTCTTATATTCACCAAGTTTATTACGATACTCATCCCAGTATACTGCGGTCTTTTTACGCCGTGCCCGGTTAAATAGTTTGCGAAGAGTCTTCCCAAGGTTCCGGATCTCCCTAGTTACCCAGGGTTTTTCCTGGGCAGATCTCCGCTCTCGCAGAGGGCAGCTGTCCTCGAACGATTCAACCAGGGCACTTGTGAACGTTTCCACTTTGGCATCTATATCCTCTTTATTTCGACATTGAAAAGTGTCCTGTCCTAAACGGTTCTTTAGTAAGGTCCCGAACATTGTCCAATTAGTTTTAGACTTATTCCGAAACTTTATCGGCTTTGGTGGTGGCCTTAGTATTTTGAATCTTATGTACCGATGATCAGAAAAGGAGTGCTCGTCCGAAACTCTCCAATCCTGAATTTCGTTTATAAGCTCTTCTGAACATATAGTTATATCTAATACTTCTTCTCTGATTCTATTGACGAAGGTAGCTTTATTACCTAAGTTCAATGTTATCAAGTCTTTAGTATTAAGGAAATCCATGAGGGCTTGTCCCCTGTGATTGGTGTTTGTACTACCCCAAGCTACATGATGCGAGTTGGCATCACAACCTATTACAATTTTCTTATTTTTCCTTTGTGCCTCTTCAACCAGTTTCATCAGATCCGACGTTGGTGGTAGTGTCGGAGAATCGAAAGGCAGGTAAATAGATGCAAGGAATATGTTGCCACGACCTTGCTTCAGCACCGTTGCATCCGATGTTGATAATCCTGTTGAGAGGAGAAAACATAAGTTCTTGTGACATAAGATACATGTTCTCGGGCGAGATCCTGTATCAGCGTAGAAAAGTTGAAAATTTACGTGATTTAATCCAGAAACCTTGTTGCGATTCGTCCAAGGTTCCTGGATTAAAGCTATATGTATTTTACCTGTGTTGATTTTAGCCATCAGAGCGTTGGTAGCTGTCTCGCTCCGATGGAGGTTTATTTGGATAACCTCAATCATGGTCATCCATTAAACTGTCTTCCAGCGAGTTGGTGGTCACCTCCTCGCTCTTTGGATTTGACTCCTCCGGATAGCCTGAAGTGGCTATTAATGCAGTGAGTACTGTTGATGGCACTGCGGTGTCCTTATCAGGCATAGGAATAGCAGTATTTTTAATAGACACATTCCCAATTCTGGAGAGCATTGCTGTTCTGTCTTCTGGCGGGTGAGTGATTTCCTCCTCGCTTTTAGGATTTGACTCCTCAACATTGCTAGTACTTGCTAATGATGCTTTGGGTACTGTCTTAGGTGTTTTAGTGTCCTTGTCGGGGCCGGTTTTGACAGCCCTTTCAATCGGCGCCTTCCCAATTTTGGAAAGGGCAACTACACTTTCTTCTGGCGAGTTTATGGTAAATTCCTCGATTTTAGGATTTGACTCCTCAACGTTATCAATAGTGGATACTGATGCTGTGATCTTAGGTTTTTTAGTGTCCTTTACGAGGCTTGTTGTAACAGACCTTCCAATCGGCACCTTCCCAATTTTGAATATGACAGCTTTAGAGGCGAAGTAAGCCCTACCTTTATTCTTGGCAAGACTAGCCATGGATTTCTGGTCGATACCTATTACAAATAAAGTTCCCTCAGGTTCTTCTTTCCTGTAAAAGACATCCCATTTTTCCACGGCCAGCTCAGCATTTTGACCTCCAAGAATTTCCAGTATACGTTCATTAGCCAGTTTACTGCCCCATCCTTTTATGTAGACAGTGGACTTTAGGAGCACCGGAAGCTCGCTCTTCTTTGCCAGTCCCAGCTTAGCGCCGTCTCAGGGAGGAGGGATACTTTCCACCAAGTTCTTTAGGGTGCTAACACATTGGTGAGATGCCAACTTCATCAACATCACGCCCATGCTGAACTCGCAGCTCTCGCTCTCTATTGGTTGTTTGCCCTTTGAAGCGATTGCATGGTCCACTATCTTATTGTTGACCAGGTCTTCTATTTTACTCTGTTGGTCTATTGGAATTTTGCCTGTCGGATTAGCGGCATCGTAAACTGCATAGCAGAGATCGTCCCGGTGCCTACTTCTGGCAACTTTGGCGTAAGATGGCGGCTCTTTTCCTTTTCCTCCGTCTAGCTTCTCCTTCCTCGTTTTTCGGGGCTTCTTTTGAGATTCCCTTACCTTCGAGGTTGATTTCGCCGACGTGTTCGTCTTCGGAATATCTGGCTTGGCGTTGTCACCCTTACTCGCAGGATTCTCACTTGAGATTCCTTTGAGTGAAGTATGGCTTGGCTTCGACTGTGTATTAGAAGACGGGGAGCTCTTTTTCTTCTTAGGTTTATTCTCAGTTGTCAACTCCTCGGGAGACCTGATCCTTTTTGCCTCAGATCTTGTGAGAGAGTCCGATTTTTCCTTTGGAGTGTCGTGGGATTGACTAACTATGATTTCCTGAAGCATCTTTTTCAACTTCCTCCTCTGTGCTCCAGAAAGTCTTTTCTTAGTAATAGGTAGTTTAGCTATGCTATCACTCACCTCTTTCACCATTTGCTCTACTTCATCCTTTTTGGGATTTGCTATAATGGTATTATTATTATTATCATCTGAGGATTCAGAGTCGGAACCCTCACCTATATTTAAAGGCTGAGGTAGCTTAGAGCTCTCTCCGAGTACATCCTTCTCTTTCACCCCTATATTTTTGCCAGCGGCATGCTGTACACTTGACGCATTGTCCGCCACGGAGGCCAAGGTACCCACCTCCGTAGTAGTATTCTGCTCACGATTGCAGGATGACGACGACACGTGACTCGCGAGTAGATCAACACTTGCCGCCGGTACTGGGTTATTTAGGCCCTGCACCGTAACTTTTATCTTTTTATTTTTATTTTCCATATTTGTTTTTTTTTTCAGTTTTTTGGTCCGCGGGGAATATAATATTCCCAGGTGGTGGACAATCTGCCCTCCCTCAGCTTAAGTGAAATTAAAGCTGGGAGAGGACAGATGGTCCATCACCACCCCCTATCCGCCACCCGGGGACGCGCTTGGTAGGAAAAATCTGGAAAACTGTAACGGCGAATGATATTTTAAGCGGAAACTGTAGTCGTTGATAATGGATAATTGGATGTTTTGAGCTGTATACGTGGTATAAAAACTGTATCTCCTTTAGCACAGCCTGTTAAAATGGTTGCCTCTATAACATTTTTATGTAGAGCTTTTACACGCAAACGTGTTCCGTTGCAAAGTTTTGGAGGGTTTAAGTTTCGTAACAGCATAATAGGAGTTCCAATTTTTAAAATAATTTTATGATTTGGAAATTCTGGTGGATTTAAAGAATTTAGGAACTCTACAGGATAGTGTATTGCATCTTCTGCTTGTATAACTAAGTCTATTGAGTTATAATCCATTTTAGGAGAATCAAATAAATTCAACAAATTGTCATTAATTGCTGCAGCTCTATCATTTTTGGGTGTTAAGATTGCACGTTCACATAACCAGTCATTTGATTTTTTGTTGATATTGCTGATATTGCATATATCAGGGTATATCTTAGCCGTTAACTCAGACAATGTATTTACTACTACGCCAAGCTCTAAAGGTATAATCAGTTTACCTTCAACCTGAGGATAATTTCCGTTACCAATTTTTAATAGTATTTCAGAAAATTGTGCTGCAGAGTTATCTCCTCTCAGATGGACGCGCATATTTTCATGGAGAGAAAGCTTTAATGTATGCTGCCATAGATTCGATGACTTAATGCAAGCTTTGACTTCATCAGCTCTGGTTCCTCTTGGCACAACTGGAAGGGTTTGGCGAAAATCTCCAGCTAATAATACAGTAATTCCTCCCATAATATCGTTGTTTAACCTTATATCTTTTAATGACCTATTTAAAGCTTCAAATCCACATTTATGGGCCATTGTACTTTCATCCCAGACAATAAGTTTACATTGTTTCACTACGTATGCCAAATAACAATGCTTTGAGATATTACATATTAGAGTATACTGCTGTATATCGAGAGGAATTTTAAATGTTGAATGGGCAGTTTTTCCTCCGGTTAATAATGTAGCTGCAATACCTGATGATGCTACTGCCAACGCAATATCACCATGACTACGCACTTTTGTTAGAAGAAGATTTATTAAATATGTTTTTCCTGTACCACCTAGGGCGTCAACAAATATTAGTTCACCATTACCACATTCGATGCTGCTAATGACTTGATCGTATACTACTTGCTGATCATTTGTTAGAGAAGAATGTGCAGTAACCACCTCTTGTTGCAATTCAGTCACATTATAGTTTGTTTCAGCTAGGTATTCTCTGTTGGCCACCACATTATTCAATCTTGATGTTTTTGGCATTCCATACTCCTCTAAATTTTGACCACCAATAGAAAAACTGTGTCTTCAATCAAAACCAAACACCTTCTATATACTTCATCCATTGTTAAGATTGATTCGATCTCAAGCATTCTCTTTATATCATCTGATAAATTGTCTTTGTGTTTATCCCAGAGACTTGCTGCATTAGACAACTGGCAATTAACCAACATAATGGTTACGAAGTTTTGAAGGGTAATTACACAAACCTGCTTCTTCTAGTGCATTATCCCAATGTTTATAATCCTCTAGCAATCCTAAAGCCAAACATGCAGAATGGAAAGTAGGATGCTCTACACTATTTACAGTCTTTAAGTCTACAAATGATCTTTAACCACATGTAAAAGTAGTCTGAGGTAGAAGCACTCAGTATTGTTTGGATGAATTGTAAACACCCGTCGCAATACATCGTCTTTTCTAATATCTTCCCATCCCTCGATGCGTTTACCACGTTTTCTTCTTTCGAATTTATTGCTTTTTAGAACGTAGATTGACGGAATTTCAGTATAAAGCAATGTTTTGGCGAACTCATGAACTTTACACAATTCGAAAAAACACAAAAGTGTCGTTTGAGGAGGATTTTCTACTTGTTGTAATATGTTGCTGGAGTTAAAATACACACGCTGTCCCTTTTCTAGGTGAACTGCAAGATGATATATGGGGGGATATCTTTCATGAATTGGGAATGCGAATATTCTCCACCGCTTCAGAGGAACTAATATAGCGACCTGATTCATACATTTTTATTTAATCTTTATCATTTTCTAAAGCAAAAGCAGCTTGATCGCTTCCCTTACTTACATACTTGCAAATATATTTGATGGACTTTACGGAGTTACAAATCTCAACATTAATGTGTGCTCCAAAAATGCGCAATAAAACTGGACGGTTGTCAAGCACCATTTCTTTATCCTGACAGTGAAGCCTCCATATTCCGTCTGTGTTTCATTTAATAGTGATCGAGAATAATGTTTGCTACATGCACCTTCCTTCATACATGGAGTATTGTTATTGAATGCACCACATGGCCCATGAATCATATTTGTTTTTACTATTTCGTGTAAAGTGGGATCTGTATATGGGTTTGGTATTTCAGGGCTAATAACATTGTACGACAACCATACCAATAGGTGAACGTGATAAATTGTTATGAATAAGGAGTTGATACTATATAATGTGTATAAAAGAGAGAAAATTAATTTAACTTAAAAAAACAAAATTTTTATAAAGTTGATAACAATTAGATTGTAGGTTTTTGTCTCTACTATAGTGTTACATAAATACTTTTATTTATACATATATACCAAAGAATAAACAAGAAGTGAAACGCTGTCATTTTTTTACAACAATAACATTACGCTCTTCTCACAGACGAGTGCTGTGTAAATCCAACACATATGTAAAAATGTTATTCTCTCTCCAAATTTCAAAACTTTTTCGCGAAATTTTGAGGATAATAGCACTTTGAAATATTTTTTATCACTTAACATTATATTTTATAATTTTTTTGCACAATTTCAACACATTTAATAGCCCGAAAATAATATATTTTTTACAAACGAAAAAAAAATATTTTTTATTTTTTGACATTGAATTTTTGTTGGTTGAAATTAAAACTAAAAAAAGCAATGTTGTAAATTTTCGTATGGTAAACGAAAAAGATATCTCAAATAAATAATTTATTTTTTCAATATTATAGATTAAAAAACAAATGGACGTCTTTATAAAATGTTTGTAGATAAAATATGTGGAAAATATCTTAAGAAACCTTTCAAAGTATAAATTGAAATGTAATATTTTTTTTCAATATTTTTCAATACGATTTTTTGCAACTATGTTGACTTGAGAATTCTACTAATACATTCTTAGAGTTAGGTACCGGATGACAGTAGACTTAGGTACTTTTGACAACAGTTTCATTTCTTATTTATTCTTTGATAAATACTTTATTTATTTGTTGAGTAAGGTGAAAAATATATTTAAAAACGGATTGTTTAAAATAAATATTTTTCTTTACGATTGGAAGTTCGTATGTAGTCTAAGTAGTTAGATGCTCAAACTGAATTTAGATAACTTGGGTTCGAATATCATTGATGTAAGGGCATTTTTATTGAAACATTTTTAAAAAAATATTATCAGTATTTACAGCATAAAAGCACCAAAAAGAAGTGGTGGATGTATACAGTTTATAAATTTTTACTGTTTACCACTGAAGATTAAAACCAGTATAAGTTCATTTTTAAATATCTGGGAAACTTATTTATTTTTGACGCTCAAAAGTTTATTAAAAAATATATTAAAAAGAAGTACCAATTTTAGTCACTTTTTTTCCCTTCATTGCTCGAATTTTAAAAAAGTATCGAAAGGATTTCTAAAACCCTTTAATTTAAATAGGATTCATTGAAATTTTTATTTGCGTGGTTATTTGTTTAAAAGATGTGGGCGGTAAAAGAATGTTCTAATGGGTAAGTTTTTACCCTGTTAGCTCTCTCCTTTTTTACCCATTTCATCCTCTAAACGTTCGAGTTTCCAAAAATCTCTTCTTAGTGGATCTATACAATACCAAAGGAATCTATAACCAAAATTTCATGACTCTAACTTTAACGGTTTGAGCTGGGCGATGATGAATCAGTCAGTCAATCAGTCACGCAAGCCTTTTATATATATAGATTGAAGTTATTAATATACATACATACATACATTTCTTTCGAAGTGATACGTGGAGTGTCTGAAATATTCAAATTTTTGCAAAAAATATTTTTGTGATGTCATTATATTTATAACTTAAGGTTATAACTTGCAAAATTTTAAAAAGACATGGTCTCCTCGATACACAAAAATTTATAATTTTTTTACTTAAAATATTTCATGTTAAGTTAGTTCTTCAAAAAGTATAAATTCTTCATATATTTTCTTATAAATTTTTTAAAGATAACTTAAAAATAAAAAAATAGCCAAAAAATAACGAAAAATCGAAATATTTAAGTTTTTTTAAAATTTAAATGCATATAACTTTTGGCTCAATCCCGATATTTATATAGTTCTTTTCGGGACAATCGGAAAATATTGGGGCCCATAGTTAGCAAAAAACTGGACAAGGGTGGGTAAAAAAGTTGAAAATTTAATTTTCAAATGGAAATATCCCCAAAGCTAAGATAGTTTTTTTTATAGTACTCATCAAGCAGATTTCATATATAATATTTATACCCTACACCACTTTAGTTGGGAGGGTATATTAGTACTCATCAAGCAGATTTCATATATAATATTTATACCCTACACCACTTTAGTTGGGAGGGTATATTGGGTTTGTGCTGATGTTTGTAACATACAAAAATATTCGTCCTATAACCACCTTAAAGTATACCAATCGGCGTAGAATCGTTTGCTGAGTCGATTAACCTTGTGCGCAAGGCATACACTCCTTTTTCGGGCAAAGGACGAAGCCTATTGAAAATGGTTAAAATCGGTCCATTATTTCACCTAGCCCCTATACAACAGAACCCCCCGAAAAGGTCTTCTGAGCTCATAATTATGTTAAATATACCTGTATATTGATAAAAAGCGGCACAACTAAGTTTTATACAAGCCTTGATGACCTTGCCAAATTTCATAGAGATCGGGCCTCATTTGACCCTACCTCCCATACAAAGTCCCCTTTAGAAAATTACTTGAATGTCCAAAATTAACTTATAAACACAAATATAGCGATGAAATTAAGCACAATAATATATTATGTAAATATAAATATATTCACAAAATTTTATCAGGCTTGGTCCATATTTGCCCCTAGCGCCCATATAAAGCCTCTTTCAGAAAATTAGTTTTTCATCCATAAATTGCTTAAATGTATCGGAGCAAGGTAATAGAAGATAAATGCTTTATTATAAAAATAAATCACATTTAATATTCATAACTGGTGTAGGGTATCATATGGTCGGTCATGTCCGACTATACTTTCTTATTTGTTTTTTTAAATCGGACCACAAACATACCCGAGGTGTCTTTTTGCAGACGAATGTTATTTCTTTAAACACATAATTTTTATAGTTATCTTTTGGATTTTCATTGTAATAAAATATGTTTTTATTATTGTTATGAATATTAAATTATAGTAATGTAAATCCCTTTTAAACAAAATTATGTGTATGGCCGTATTTTCTATTTTCCTTTAAAAATAGGTATGATTTTGATTTAATAATTTAATCATGAAATTGTAAATTTTTCTTGCTTATTCGATACATGTTTTAATTCCTAGACAAACCACAAATAGTAAATTAATAAAGAGATTGTGTTTATTATTTAAAAATAGGATGTGCCTTCAATTAGTCAGGTATATGGGATGGATAATTTTTTAATTCACAACTGGTGTTAAAGGAACAGGTACTTTTTACAAGATAAAAGATGTGCACGAACTCACACCCGTCATAAAAATTACCAAATGCAAGCAGTATGTTGGGAAACCCGTGTAACACGTCTAGCATACTGTTTGTTCTGATTGGTATTTCCCACGATTAAGATTAACACATTATGTGCACAGTGCACATAAGTCTTAAGTGTTCGCACCTATAAACTTAAATCTATCAAAACATTGCACATTTAAAATACATAGCTGTGGAAAATCCACAACATAGATAAAGGTGTATTGTCGTTCTAATTCCTGTGTAGATGTACTTACGTGCATACACTATATTCAACATATTTATATTTTTCAGAAGTGTATTTACACACACAATGTCCAATCGAGTGTTTTGAGGAACAGTTTTTTTGGGAATTTGATATAGGCACAAATCTAAAACAAAATACAAGTTTTAAAAGGAACCGCACTATGGTTCAGACGATAAGTTTTTGTGGCCAAAACTATAATGGTGGCCATAAAATAAAATAAATTTAATTTATTATTTAAATATCAAATTGATTGAGAGGTGTACGTACTGATGTAATGTCCAATTATAAAGTACTAGTTGATAAGCCTGTCCCTG